CAACTGGGAAACTGTGAGCATCCTAGACCAAGCTAAATCCAAAAATGCTAAGGAATTCCTGAAAGCCTGGCATTCAGACAAATCAGCCATCAATGGCTACATAGAGATAAACCACATTTACACATCATTCAAAAGAGCCAATTTTTTTTAAAAAAAAGCTAAGAAAGAAACGAAAAGACCAGAACACATCCTGCCCAGCAACCAACACCCAGATAAGCAGGGATTAATACCAGACAAACAATCAAGTAGAAAATAATACCTAATCAAGGAACTACCAAGGAGAAAACCACACCTCTACAAACATTGGCAGGACAAGCTACTGTATATCAACAGAGAGAAAACCCCACACCCACTAGCACTGATGTTACCTAGTCAGGTAATGAAACATTTGCAAGCAAACAACCAAGCTCAGAGAGTACCAAGGACTCCACTTATTGGGTTCGTTGTTAAATTTATTTCTGATGGCTCACAGTAGTTGTGCTTACTTTGTAATTGTGATCTAGCAAAGTCAAAGTAAATATTTTACTAATTATCATTTCACAGTAGAATATCCATATTCTATATACTCTGCCCAGTAGTCTACAGTCTATAGATATGATTTTAAAAGACTGAGCTTGAAAACAACTTTTTCAAACTAAATGCTAAAAAGGGGAGGCAGAAAGTATTAAAGAAATTGCAGTTACACAACAGTTAATTGGTAAATAAGAAAGGAATTTAGAAAACCACAGAAAATCAAACTAAATAGGCAAGAAAGAATCCTTAAAAGAGGGAGTTTTATGTAGAAGAATCCTCAAAACATCAGAGTTATGATAAATCAACATAAGGAGCTTCAATAAGATTACTATTTTATTAACAGAAATTACCAAAAGAACTGGAAAGATAAAAAGAGAAGTTTACATATTTGTAAGGTGCATACATCTTAGTAAGAATCAAATGGAAAGAAAAAAATCCAAATGAAATATAAGTAAACAAAAAGCAGAAACAGTAATCTAATGAGCAAAAAATTGAGTACAGAGATTTAAACTAAGAGAAAAAGATTAAACATAGATTGCAAACAATGAGAACTTCAATTAAGATCTTAACAGAAAAAAAGTAGAACCTACTAAGAACCTACTAATCTTTAACTACTCTGGCATATTACTCCAGTAATATAACCCAAATGAAAAAAACAGAAACTCCTTAGCTCACAATTTGCAGTAAAGGCTACAAAGTCATGCCATCATTTAAGATGAACAAGAAAATTTAGGGAAACAGTAATTATCCCTTACATACTAAGTATGAAATAATAATTTTTCTCCAAAATATCTAGAAATATCAGTAAGAATGAAGGAACTCAACAGAAGGTCAATGCATTATTTTAGACTGGGGATCTTTTCACACCTCAGCTCCCAAAGGCTCATTCTGCATTTTTGGCAGTTTGGAAATTCACCAATTCCATCCCCTAAGATTTGAAAACCTTTCCCAAAATGGGCCTTGACTCAATTCATTTTCTCTGTGGTTGGCAGCTAAGCAGACAGGAAATAACATAAGAATATTGGACTGAGCATGTAATACAGCTGTGTTAATAGCCAAATTTGAAGTTTGCATGGACATATATATTGCACCTTCTGGGAACACCTTAATCCAAACATCTCTTTTCCTGGGACAGCATGGAGTATGGAGGACAACTGTATGAACCCAGGAAAAGCTGAAGTTCCTTTAAAGTTCTCCTGACAAATTTTATGTGCATGCCTACACAAGCTCATCTTGCCTTTTGAATCCAGATGTCTATGAAGTATTGGTATACAAACTATAAATTAAAAGGCACAAGAAGAACAAACTCAAACTACTCATACACAAGAAAATGTACATCAATCAGCTCAATAAAAAATGAGTACAGTAGAAGCAAAGAGAACTTGAAGAACATGGAAAATAAGTCTTACATAAGACAGCTACAAGTAAGTTCCTGGAACATATAAAGTATAATATTAACTAGAAAGTCAAAAACTTTTTGTTAATATTTGTTACTCTTTACAAGAATCATTTATATTCGTAATAATTTGACAGTTTATATAGCATTCCTTTGATTCCTTGTTTTGCAAGGTTTGGAATGACTTCCTGTGGCACATTTTGCAAAAAAAAAAAAAGATTTCTCACAAGTGTCACCAGATTCCATTTCTGTCACAATAGTTTTTGTTTTGACCTTTCCACTGTGGCTTATTCCATGTTCCAATTTTCTCTGTAGTAAATAATTTATTTTTCAAATTTGTAATAATCGTTTTGTTTCCCAAATCTTTGCACATTTGCACAGATGTAAATGCAGATACAAACCTAATTTCCCTGGGACTTCCTAGAAGAAAATTAAGTCATATAACAGGAATACTGACACAACTATACTAATTACATTATGTTCTCATACTTTCACAATCTTAAAGTATTAATTGTTCTATTCAGTACATTTTAGCCTATGTATAATACACGTAACATAATACAAGTTGATTGATGATTCTTCATATTATATTGGTATCAGTGATGGCTCCCGTAAACCCTACGAACTTTCAAATTGTATATGGTAAGTATTGCAAATAATTTCTAGAAGAAATATTTTTATATAAGTTTGCAATCATTTATTTTGAACAATGTCTCCCTTGTTATAATATATATTTGTCATTTACATATTTAAACAGTACAGAAGGTCCCAAATCCTGTAACAGCCTATATGAAATGACAAAATGATGCAGTTTTGCTGCTATACTATACATGTTACAGCATACAATAGATGCCAATTGACAAACTTAAAAATTAAATGCTTAAATAACATCCTAAAAAGACTTTGAATTTTACATGGGACCAGATACATATTTGATGTAGAAATGTATTTTTAGATAAAGTTTTACCAAGATGAGTGCAGAAATTTCAGTAAAATTGGATTTTACTGCAATCAGCAGGATAAATTAGTTTTGGCTGAATTCAGTTAATTTAAGTAGAAATTGTTCAACTAGCTTAGATAGATTCAAACTACAAATTGTAGAAATAAAATATTTTCAGGATATCTTTCAGTATATACCAATTTGGAGTTCCCAATTTTTTTAAAAATGCATCTATATAGAGATATTTAAGATAAATGTACTACTATTAAACAATATAGTTATATTATCTTTATAAATTATCTACCCTCAACCACTTTTAAAAAGTGGTAAGAACAACACAATGACTCAACTGAAAACAGTTTTGTACCAGTTTATAAAATTAAAGTATACTGTATATCTAACTTAAAGATTTTGTTCCTATTTCTACCATTCATATTCTTAGAGTATGTCTATCTAATTTTTATGATTTTCACTACTACTTGGGAAAAATTGCAATAAATGGAACAGAAATGAAGTTGAACATATTTTATTAACACAAATACTTTTTCTATAAAATATACTGTGAGGGTTGCTGTGCTTGGGAAAAGTAGCTTCAGCCAAGCAGAAACACTTCTCACCCCATTTCTCTCATACATTCATGCATTAACTCAAACTTTAGTCATAAGCATCCAAGGCAGATTTCCAGCTGCCTGTGATAACTGAGCCACATCCTGGCGTTTTCAAGGATGTCCAGAGGCAGCCTCACCCCCACCCAGGCTCTTAGCTTAGAAAAGCAAATGACAGAGTGGGTAGGTGTGTGTAGAAAGAAAGGTGATAAGCAATTGGCACACAGATGGGGAAGCAGAAGTGATGTCTGAAGACTGGCAGCTATTACAAGCAGGCAAGAGGATTATCATTCAACTGCCAGGACCATAAGTTACAGTGAGCAGGAGTCCTGCCTGGAACTTTGCTGGGAGCTTGGTAGCAACTAGAAGAAGGGCCACACTGAAACAGCACCTCATCCCAACTACAGTAAGAACATATGGAAAAAGGCAAAGGCTGAATGCTACTTTACAGACTTTATGGACTTTTGCTTGAACTAAGTATTAAAGGGCGGAGTATTAAAAACATATTTACATGGCAACATCACCTTGCAAGTTGTAGATGGGTGGAGAGCAATAGTTGGGGAAAGTGTGTGCTGCAATAAAGCATTTTGTACAGAGATCATCTAGAAAGAAAAAAGCAGAGAGAAGCTCGAAGAATGGGGTTTAAAGAGCTACTTTCCCTTGTCAAGAATGCAGAAGCCTCTGGACAAGAGTCTCCAGGTTTGACTAGTTCTACTCCTAGTGTAGGAGAGAGTGTAGGTTAGGGATATAAACATTCATAAATTAAGTGAGGATGAGGACATAGACCCCTCACATATACAAAAAAGCTACGCCTTTTTACTGAAATATGGTTAGGGTATGAGTCGACACCGACTTGATGGTGCATAATCAAAACTATGACTAACTTCCATTAACAGTGTAATGAAAGATGTAACAGTGGTACCTGATTGTTATTAAACACTAAGATCAAACTGGAACAATTTCAATTTGGAAAGCCAAGTCTTCATACTAAGCATACCAGCTCCTTATGCAAGAGGCCTTTATATTTAGAAGGCTAAGGTTAGTTTCTGAAGTGGATTAATTTAACATACAATAAGAAGTAACAGAAGCCTAGTTGGCTATGGCAAACAATACTATTATTTTTACTATACCAACATACGAGTCCATTCTAGAAGATGTTTAAGGTAAAAAAAAAAAGTGGGGAAATTTGAAAAAAAAACAAAAAGCCAACAAGAGTGATTTTGGAGTCGCCGTCCAGGAGTGGACAGAGCAGAAGTGACAGATAGGCAACCTGTGACCTCTGGCACACTTTGGCAACATATCCTGTAATTTTGCAAAATATTCCCCGCCCCTTTTCCCCGCCATTCACTACTAATGATTGTCCCCTTAGGAGTCGCAGCTGAGGTCTCTACCTTCGCGACCCTCTTCTTCAATCCCGGAGCTTCTCCTCTGGCTGAGATAACCCAAGGACCCACCCCAGCTCTAGATCAGGCGGCTGTCCCCCACGCCCGCCCCAAACCCTGCAAACTGAGACACCCTCCAGGCGCGCTCCATAAAGGCTAGGCCGAAGTCCCGCCTAGGGCTTCCGTGGCCCTTAAGCACGCCTTTCCCCTCATGGCCAGCTTCCTTCTCACCCGAGAGGCTCTCAGCGCAGCCATGACACCCCCTCTCTTCTTCCCTTCCCTCGCGCGCCGTGCTCCTGACAGACTGCGATCGAAGTTCGCACGGATTAGGCACCCAGGCTAGACCCGCCCCCAGCGAGCGGGGGTTGATCCTTCCGGAGGGCCGGGCGCCTGGAACGGAGAAGCGGGAAGAGGAGGAGGAAGGAAGGATGGCTGGCTGGATGGCTGGCTGGCAGGCGGTGCTGCCGCTTCTACTGCCGTTGGGTTGCTTACCTTGGTGATGAACTGAGAGCGAGTCACTCTCATTTTAGCGGCGCGGGATACGAGGATCCAAGCGTGAGTGGTTAGTTTGTGGTTCGGTGCGCTGGGCAGACCAAATTATTAAAGCATGAGCAAGTATGTCCTAGAAACCCAGCGTAGTCTACTTTTTACTTTAACTGCAACGTCGGGATGCATTCGAACGGCGATTAGCCAAAGCTCTAATACCAACGAAGGAAGAAAGGGCCAATTCGATGCCTTAGGAGTGTGAAGTTCCTGCATCTAGATTGACTACGATTTATGGCAATTCCGTGGTAATTTTCTTTGGATGGGTTCCCAACGCTCCCAGCGCTGCAGTTCTGGAGCGCAAAGGCTTCGTTCCTCCAACGGGCTAAGCTATAATGTAGTTTGAGCTGGGATTTGTTCTATGAACCTAGTCAATTGTGTCTTACTCCATGAAGCATTGAACCTAGTTAATTGATTCTTACTTGATAAACTATGATTAAACCATGGCTTAGTGTGATGTGCAAACCCAGTTGGAATCTTGCAGTACCTTGAAGATGAACATGGGCATTTCATATTTTATTTACTTATTTGTCTGTTTACTAAATTTATGTAGCTGCCCATCTCACTTGCATGTGATTGGGTGGTGTACACAAGTGAAACAAAAGTAAACTATCAATATACTTTAACTATTAAACAGTTAAAAACAATTAAAAACCATAATTACAGAAGACAGAGAAGAGTACAAACTTGTGCTCAGGCTTGATGGCAAAACCAAGTTTTGAGGGCCTTCCGAAAGGCCAGCAGGGTTGGGGCTGACCTCACCTCAGAGGGAATGATGTTCCAAACGGCAGGGACCGTGCAGAAAAGGCTCTCCTCCTGGGCCCTGCCAAACAAAGCTCCTTGGCTGATGGGACCCACAACATGCCCCACCTGCTAGACGTTATGGGATGGGTGGATTTGATGGAATGGATATACGAAGAGGAGGGTGATGTGGGGGATAGAAGGAGAGAGCAAGGCTATCAGGAGGGAGGGGGTGCATTCCAGGAAGGGAAAGGAGACAAAAGGCAATACAGTCTGCAAGAGGAGCGTAGGAAATGTAAGAAGTTCAGGATAGCCACTCCCTAGAAACTCCCAGGGTATATCCACTTGTTGCAGTAGTATAGATTTAGTCTAGCAAGATTCTGTTTATAAGGTGTGAGCAAATAAAGGAATTGTGCTTGACTGAACTGTTTCACCATTGTTCTTGGGCTGGGCCTGACAGTGGATGTAATTGTGATTAGGCAGTCCCTCAAATATAGCAAGTGTTCATCAATTATGGGCAACTCTGAACAGATGCTAAAATGATACATCTCAAAGTAGGTATGGTCCACAGAGATTTTGTCATAATGCCTGTGTTTGTACAACATGCT